TGAATTTCTGTCCTGAATGAGAGAATTGCTCGTCAAGGTGTGAGCTTAAGTGGGGCTGTTGCCGGAGAAGCATCCACACCAGGCTTTGGAGTACTGCAACCCCGTTGTTCAAATCTGCATCGGTGTGTTGGCAGAAGAAGTATAGGATCGTGGGGGCCACTGGATCCCTGAGGCCCCGTGTTTGCAGTTCTTTTATAGTGCCTATTGAAAGCATTGTCTTTCCAGTTCCAGCCTGCCCACTGATCCACAGTCGTCTAGGCGCCTTCTCTCCCCAACACCTAAAACTTTTGAATTGCTCGGTATTAAAGACCCAAGTATATAGGTCATCCATGACACTCTCTTTCAAAACTTGGATAGTTTTGACGGTTGCCTGCGGATCGACGCGACGTATAGCCTGTAAACGCTTCTGGAATTCCTGTGAGTCTTCCGCTGTCTTGGTGTCCATGATCATCGCTCTCATTTGGTCCTTCAATTGTTCCATGTCGTACAGCGCGCAATCTCTGGAAAGAGCATCTTCTGCCTCCTGGATGTGTTTTATTTCGCCACTCCAATCATCCAGCTCTAGCAATCCGCGGGCCCACACTAAGAGCTGATACTTTCTGTAGTAGAAACAGACGCTCTTGATCTGGTAGAGCAACAATGACTCGTATAACGACGTGATTCGCCCAGCGATGTCCTCTCGTATCCCGTGTAGCGACTTTTCATCTTTCATGCTGTCCTCGCATAGGACTTTGTCAGTCAACTTGGAGTACCACTCGATTCTGGAGATCGCATAAGCTACGCCGTTGTAGAGAGCTGCTCCAGTGCTAACTGGCTTGAGCAATATCTAGTCATAGTGGTAGTTCTTCAGTGTCTGTATTGAAATATCAGAGTTAGAACACTTACATCAATGCTTGATGAGATGACGGCCCACGGCAGCGCAGTCTGAGAGACATTCTTCAGAGGAATGTCAAGAATGGCCTTGAGCTGCTTAATTACATTGACAGTGCTCTCCGAATTCTCAATAGCTTTCTTGTATTTCTCAATCCTCACAAGGCCTTCTTCGACCACCTTTTTCATTTGCTCTTCTCCAAGGTGCTGGGAATACTCATTTGTTTCGACTACTTTCTCGGCCGTGTATTGGCTCAGAAATACCCTTTGAAGCAGTTCCTCATACCGTGAAACGTATTCTGTCTTTGCCGGGTCATTTTTGAGGTTGTTATAGGCCTTGTCCCAGAGAGCTTTGTGGATAGAATCCGCCTGGTTAATGACCTGTTGTCCACGGTGTCCATCAGCGTCACTGGTAGTCTTGTCATCAGTAGCAAGTAATCCATCATCTTGTCGCAATTCTGTAGTTTGACTAACGTTGCCAGCAGCGTCACTGCTGGGAGAGCCTTTTGCAGGGGTGCTCTCGTCATTTTCCTCGACCTTTTGGTCGTCTGCCTCGTGCCTTCCCTCCTCTGCATGTCTGTCTTTCCTAAAACCCCCAAGCAATGTCGAAAGACACCCAGACTTGCACGATGGCATTCTGGGACGCTGTGAGGTATTGAAAAATTCTTGTAGTGCAATCGCAATAGAAACCGATCAGTGATAGAGTCCTGGACTGAATGTGTTCGGCTCGCGAGGCTGAAAAGAGGAAGGTCGTCAGGCGTTCGTTGCCTAATTTAAATGCGATAGGAACCAAACATGCTGCTCAGCCTCGGGTTAGTGTGGTGAATGCTGAGTGGCTCTCAATGTAGGATCATTGGCGCTAAACATGCAGCAGGTACATGTACCGGCTGGCCCACGCTGGAAAGAATGGATATGATTATCATTTGCCGAGTTGATGAGCTTATAGAACAGATACATCGGTCAATGTACTTGAATCTTGGTCCCAATTATTCTATCTCGCAAGTATCAAATCACTATAAAAACTGTTTCATTGTTTGAGATTTCTACTGACCGTTCAATATATATACTGGTGCCGTGGTTAAGGTACTATGGCTCTCTTGAACATCACTAATAGTACTAGCGTACACATACTACTATCGTTCTAAGTCCACCTAACTGCAAGATTAAAACGTATCAGGCACTACTCTAGTGTCTACGTACAGCAGGAAACAAAAATAGAGAGTTGGTGCAATATTACCTGAGTCGTGGGTCTCCAAGAAAGAGGAAAAAAGAAAACCAAAAAGATGATCCCCCGAACCAGAATCGAACTGGTGATTTTTCGGTTACAATAATTACCATTACAGCCGAACGCCATAACCAACTAGACCATCGGGGGTTCTTGTTGTACTCTGCAACTTGCCTTGTCATGATATTGAGCAATTTGTCACAAGTAAATACTAAAAATGGCAACCATCGTCAGCCACCACGCCAAGATAAGATATTCGTCATGTTTTCCCCTCTTTCCCCAACCACCGATTTGGTAGCGAAGTCACGTTCAGGGCAGCCTACGCTTCATCAGCATCTCGGATGAAACAAGACGCTGTGTGACAGAAACACTCCAATGTTTGTGTGTTTCGTCTGGCACCACGAGACTGTAGACACATAAGCCCAGTAGTTGGCATCTGCACGACATCTTTGTTCTCCCCAACATCCCCAATTCCGCCCGCGTAGACCGACATAGCCGGTTGCCTAATCCGGACCACTCGCCAAGCTGCCATCCATCGTTGGTTTCGCTCGGCGCTTCTTCTCGTCTCTTTTCCCGACTTTTTCTCCTCACATCCATCACCCTCCCCTCTTTTTCCTCTCCGCACATTCCGCATTATAGAGAAGACTCTCATTCCTATCAGAAGCCTAAACTGCGCCGTCAGGCATTCCTCACCGCAACAAAAGACCGCATAATCACTGATATCGCGTCTGAAAGACTTGCGACTGTCTCCTTATTAAAAATGTCCTACAACAAACCTGTATGTTGAGTCAACCTTCTCGCCAATTCTCACTTCACCACTGACCGATATTGAACAACAGGATCAGCCTCCTCCGTCCTACCCTCCTCCCACCCACGACGCCGGCCCCTACCACCAAGGCGCATCGCAAGACTACTACCAGCAGGGCGGTTACCCTCAACAAGGCTACAACCAGGGATATCCGCCCCAGGGCTATGGTCCCCCGCCGCAGCAGGGATACTACGGTTCTCCTCCGCCTCAAGGCCAGCCGATGTACTATCCTCCGCCGCAGCAGCAACAAGGTTACTATGCCGGACAAGACCGGGGCGGATCCTCGGGTGGTGGTATCTGCGCGGGTATAATGGCTGCATTGGCTTGCTGCTGCTGCTTGGATATCCTGTTTTAAGATGAGAGGAGTGCTGTGTGTTCAGTGATTTCTAACTTCTGTTTGGATTTGGTGTCTGCGTTTTCTTCTCGTCTAGATTGGATGCGATTGCCTACTACTACTGATACTGTATTGCCATTCTTTGGTTGGGCGCAAGGATTCACGGAGCACGGTTCGCGCGCGGGGTTTTGTCTGTGTTTCTATATTTGGTTGATTTTCAGTCGGGTCAGTCAGGTCAGGTTAGGTTTGACTGGCGTCGGCGCTTAACGGCGCAAGGTCTATGGATGACTACTCGAGTCGGTTTACTTTCGTTGAAATCCAATCATTTTTATATCGGTAGTAATTAACATTATTCATCTCTAGTTCCGTGTGCATGGACATTCTTGCGTGCAAAATTGACTCGCAATTCTAACCTCAATCATAAAACATCACAGGGCAGGGTATCAAATCATCGTCGAAGGTTCAAAACCAAATCACGTCGACAGCGTTATATAACACAACACAATAGCAATCACTCAACACACCCATTACACGGGGGCCCGCAACTACGACCTCAAACTCTCATCCTCCGTCAACCCCCCATACGCCAACGGATCCACAGCCCGATAATGACCCGGCCGACTGCGTCTCCTCCGCCCATGGCCCCCGGAACCCTCCACACTGGAATGCTCCTCCTCGACCTCAACCACATTCGACGGACCAGACGACGTAACCGACTCTTCCACAACAATGCGTGAATCCCTCCCCCGACTCGCTCTTGACCTGCGACTCCGCCGACTCCCACCGCTCTCAATGACCTCCTCGACAACCTCGCGCCGCCGACGTCGCGGTGGTCGTCGCGAAATCGAGCTTCCCTCTTCCTCCACCACCACCTCCGACATCGTTGCCGACGTCGCCGTGCTGGGCTCGCTGGAGAAGCGCCGCCCGGCACCCAACGCCAGGAATATTAAGTAGAGGAGGAAGATGAATCCTAGAACGCTGCCGATGATGACGCCGGCGACGGCGCCGGGGGAAAGGCCGTTACTGTTGTAGGTTCCGGGGATGAAGGCGGCGGAGGAGCGTTTGAGGGCGGAGGGGATGATGCTTCGGAGAGATAGAATGGATGGTTGAGATTTTTGTGTGAAGGGAAGTGAGATGTGGAGGTTGAGGTTTGGTGGTGGTGGTATTCGTGGGATCGGGATTGGAGTCATTGTGGTTTGTTGGTGGTGGAGGTGGAGATGGAGATTATAGTAGTGGAGGCGGGGATCCAGGCGGGTAGATCCAGTTGTAGTAGTAGTTGTAGTAGATGGATATGTTTCATCGAGGGGAGGGTGGTGGTGTAGACATGGATGTAGTGGGATAATGACCTCACGATCAGAATAAAAATGCTAAGAGGCAGGGAATGTAGATGAAAAGAAGAAGAGGATGGAAAAGACGAAGTGATGGGGCGGAGCGCATTGACAGTGGGTTTTGGGGATTAATCGGTGGCTGGGATGATGGGATGGGATGCGATCGACAGCAAGGCTCGATGCTGGGATTCGCGAATCAGCGTGGAGGATGTAAGACACTGGGTACTGACTTTGTACCTGAACAATAATTTGAGTATTTACTTGGTTTGATTGATTGATACGTTGAGTTATTGTCCGCTCGATTGTCATTGAACGTTGGAATGTGACGGTGGATCAAGGCGCAGATCGGAAATGCTTGGGTGCCTTATCGATCTATGCTGTGTTGCTGCTGCTGCTCCACCGTCTCTTCTCTTACCGCTGTGTGTTTGGCTGCATGTTTACTGTCGCTATTTCCCCCACACTCCATATTCTTACTCGCATCTGACTGATGCATAGTCACATTATTCCGTAATTCTACTATATATCCTACACGTGGATTCAGTTCCGAGGAGCTAATACTGCAATAGCAACATGAGGAAGCCATGCCTCTTGCTCAGGCAGCCCCTACGCTTAACCGTCCCCTTCCCCTGTTATGACCTCCCTCTCAGAGCCAGCCAGCCATTTCTTCCCCGTCGAATTTATCGAGTATTTTCTTTGACTAGATACAGAGGAACAGGACCTGCCAAGAAAACCACTCGTGTCATTTACGAACCCATTGAAGATGTGGAAAGAATGGAATATTATGAAGCTGGGGGCTATCATCCAGTTACAATCGGGGACTGTTTCCACCATCGCTATCGGGTAGTTCATAAACTTGGCCATGGTACATACTCGACCATTTGGCTGGCCCGCGATAAAGTTTCCAAGAGATATGTTGCATTGAAAATCTGTACAGCGGATTCGAACACCCCCGAAAACAGCGTGCTGTCCAGACTGTCGCAACCCCAGCAATCGTCACGCTTAGACCGAGATTTGTTCCCTACAATTTCAGACATCTTCAACATACAAGGCCCCAATGGCAACCACACCTGCTATGTCACCAGACCAGCACGAATGAGCCTGTCAGACGCAAAGAATGGATCATGGATCAGTCTCTTTCAGCTTGAGGTATCCCGAGCGATAGTAGCGCAGCTTATAATTGCTGTTCAGTACACCCACTCCCAAGGTATCGTCCATAGGGACCTTCACCGTGGGAATATTCTACTTCGGCTTTGCCGTGACTTTGACAAACTTTCGACTGACATGCTGTACGAAAAGTATGGAGAACCGGTATTGGAGCCAGTAAATCGATTAGATGGTCAAAAGATTCCGCCAGAGGTGCCACAATATGGTGTAGTACCTATATGGCTCGGAGCTGTAAGTGAGGATGTGACGCTCCCAGAAGCCAAGATTTGTCTTTCAGACTTTGGCGAAGCATTCTGTCCCACTCACGAACAAAAAATCGAGTCTCATACACCTCTGCTGGTCCGTCCCCCGGAGGCCCGGTTTGAGCCAACCCAGCCTCTGACCTTTTCGTCTGATATATGGACACTTGCCTGCACCATCTGGGATATTATGGGACAAAGAACACTATTTGAAGGCCTCCTTACAAATGATGACGACATGACTAGCCAACAAGTTGACCTACTTGGCCCGCTGCCCCCCGAGTGGCTCACTAAATGGAAAGAAATTCGAAAGAAGGATAGCAAGTCGACTCACCAACCTCCCACATCTCCGACTCAGTCATGGGAGGATCGATTCGAACAACACATGCAGCGGTCGCGGATACGGGAGGGAATGCCACCTTTTGAATTAAAAGAACGCGATGCTTTTATTTTGATGTTACGCTCTATGCTTCGCTTCAGGCCGGAAGATCGCCCTTCTGCTCAACAGGTCCTTGAGTCGGAATGGATGGTGAAATGGGCATTGCCTGAATATGAGAAGATTCGCAATACTGCTTAGGAGCAAAAGGTGGAATCGTACTCTCAATACTTGCTGCTTAGGTGAAGTGATGGACACTGATATTAGAGTAGAAAGGCTATGGTAACTATGACTTCTATATATAAGGAAGGAACTATAATCATAATATCCCATGGGTCATTCGATAGCATGCCATTGCTACCCAACTTCTCCATGAGATCTACGATAGTATGCAGTATTAAAGTAATAAGGTTTACCATAGGCAATAGGGGTCCTAGCATCTTGTAACTCTACCAATTAGGAACCGACAAGAAACCATGAAATGAATAATGCTCGAATTCCAGAAATGTTGATATTGATTTCGACTCATATGAAACACTATGAGGATACTCCTTCCACTCTGTTTACAATTGGATGCCGCAAATAGAATCTCCCATGTCTTCGAATTCTTTCCCTACTCAAAGCATTCTTTTTCCCGAACATGATGAACAAAAAGGACTCTATGCAGATTCCAAAAGGCCAGTGGCTGAAAAAATTCATCGCTTGCATGGTTATATATTTCTATAACCTTTGATACTGATACACTGCGCGTATCTCAAAGTTCTTGATAATCAAAATCCACCATGAAACCTAACGACACTGTTCAGTGTGAGCCATAAGAACCGGTCCTGACACTCGGTAGCACCAGGAGCAGTATCATAGTCAGAAGTATCAGCACTATAGCACAAGCTCTGTAATTCCTAGTGATAGAGAAGAAGAAGATGGTGATGGGCCAATAAAGACACACCCGTGGTTTCCAGCGTAAGATCTGCAACAATGTAGGTATTACCCGAAAGTCCACATTAATGAGCTCTGGGACGCTGTTTTGTGGATAGTCTCGAGACAGACATTCGCTAGTCGGTAAGTAGTAGTACATAGATCTGCGTAATCGTTTATTCAAAGTATGATGATGTCTTCATCGCAAGCCAGTTTTCCAGACAATTATGTGATGCTATGGACATTTTGGCTATGGATCCGTCCACCCGGACTTTATATATATTGCAGTTTGGCTCTATGCCCGCAACTCCAACAACGACCTGAGCTGTGAAAGTTTCGCCAAAAGACCAGGCAGGATTGAACTGCACTCTCAATACATGAATGTTGCAGTATGACCCCGCAGACACAGGTGTAACCTCATGCATGTATCGAGGAAAGACAGGCACTTGAACAGAGTGACTTAGACCACTTGGGTCAAGAGATTCCCCTGTGTTCTCTGTGTACGACAAGCTCCGATATGACTGGACTGCCGGAAAATATGGTGGCAGATCAGCCACAATTGGGCAGTGCATCTGAAACATGCTTGGTTTATTAAAGCCTATTAAACATATTTTTGCTATTGCGCCAGATCCGCCTTTTGCCTTTGAAGTCTGCTGCCTGGCAGCGGTGCTCTCTTGCTAACCTAGGTCTCTGCTATCGTTGGGTTCAACACCATGAGGGGATATATTGTCCTCCGGGGTTGATGCGAGCCATATATTACTAATACAGTATGTATGTCTCAGCAGTGAGCTTCCCCTTTCGACTCATATTTGGAACGGGCTTGGGCATGATAGGTATGGCACACCGAACGAAGAGGCAAGTAATACTGGAAAATTGGGAAGGAAATAATTTCTCTTGAGTAAGAAGTTCGTAGTGATTAGGTACCGACAGTTTGATTATTGCAATTTCTAGGGCTTCAATCAGGAGACCCTTCCAGATATCGTCAAGACAGCGGTTGAATTCCCTTTTACGTATTGGTACTCTCGTCAACGTAGCGGACGCCCTTTTCCACCGTGTTGTCTTGTTCCATTCGACGACCATGACGATGCGATACATCTTGGATCTTCATGGAACCCTAGACCATTCGTCGCGGTCACATTGGGGATCAGAATAGGGCCCTCGATCGTCTTCACCCGAATTTCGTTTGGGCCCACGGTGATCATTCTGAAGTGCAAGCTATTCAGACCGGAACTATTGCGATTGCGTGAGCCCTGGTTCTTGTACGTCCCCACATGTAAAGCTCGATGAGAGGCCCGATGCCACGTCTGTAAGCTTGAGATAGACAGGCGCGCATCCAAGCTTGCTCATGAATAGGGTCATAAGATCTGACAGAGCCCAGTAGGTAATCCCGTCATACATCGGTTAAGATATTAGGATCCCTGACCTCGCAGAACCTGGTTCCTGTGTACTCTGTTCGTCGGACACCGTAGTCCGAGCAATACAGTCACCGCAGCAATTATATCTCCACAGTAACATCGCAACCATTTGACCCCTTGCCGACATCGGAGACGCTCAATTGTATTAGACAGGCTTTGCAGTAATAGGTAAAATAACGGACGAGCATTTATCTGACCATTATCCGGCACCGGTCCCTGAGGCAGATATACGGCATGCGAGGGCTCATACCAATGATATCAAATAGTATAAGTGGCTCCCACCCCCACAACATCAGCGATTATTGCCCCCATCACCAAGCCAGCGAGCATTATGTCGACCACGCGATTTATGCAAACTGGTTGCCAAAACTTCAATTGTTGGCCGCGGATCATGCCTTCGAGCCGGGGGTTGCCTTTGTTGATTCATAGGTACACAAAATCAATCATGCAAACAGTTTTGGGTTCCGCATTTAAATGTTCGAGTGATAAGTTCAGAGCTACTCCGCACTCACCGCAGGTGCCTGGGTGCTGGGTGTCTGGCATTTCCCTGATCTAGAAGGGATGGTGTCTCAGCGACTGTGGAATACAGTAGAATCGGAGTAATCCGTGTTACCATAAGCAGCCTGAACTGCTAATAGATGGCTTTATTAGTTCCGCCAGTCAGGGTTAACACCGGCACCACCTTTTGCTGGATACCGTACAAAAGTCCAAGCAAAATGGCGATACGGGTGTGGCTTCAACGACAGGAGGCTAACATGATCGATGCTCTGGGGATGGGAAGTGACAAGATGAATGTGGCTGTCATTAAACTGGCCAGTGGTGTTCCTTGGGCGTTGTATGGCGTAATAACTATAATGTCCTCGGCCGGCAGTGTTTGACCTAGAGAGATGTCGTGGCCCTACACCAAGTCCATGAAAAGATGGATTAGGCGCATGCCCTTTTGTGATATTCCTCAACTTCCCCATGAGCCTCGTTGGCAGCCCCAACAACACAACCCATATAACTCTTCCATTTCTTTGAATATACGGGTTGGGTGCTTTGACTCATGGTTATGGAAGCTGTTGTTCCTTTGTATCCCCGTATATTATGGAATGGATCCATCTTTTTATGCGCCCTTTTAGCTGCTGCATGTGCTTTTCAGCAGGTTTATAGTATATGTGCCTTCGTTGCTTGGCTTATTGAGCAGGCCTATCACCTCCTCGGTTTTCTTCTTAAGACCGCGAGGGGCTTTCCAGCCCCTTACAGAATTTGTAGTCCCTCTTTGTTCCTGTTGGATACAGATTAGAGACTTGACCCACGGATAGGGTAGCTCTGGTTATTTGGTGTCACCATATGCAAATATTGAGCTACGACCCAATGAAACATTGGCAGGATCGTAGCAATACTGTGTGGCTTTGCTAGTGTCCTTGAGTTTTGTATTAACTTTGTCACTTCTCCTTTCTTGACGACGATCTCAAAAGGCCTTCGATTGTCGTTCTATAGGAAACCAATTTGGAGCGTCCAAAATGCCTCCAGGTCGAGGCAGAAGGGTATGAGTGTGGCAGAGGATGTAGAGCATTATGGTCACAATCATAAAGTCTATATCATATTCTTAGCACGCAAGTGATGCTATCAATACCCAATGTACTTACCATTCATAAGTCCCGAGGCAATATTGTACCGAGTATTATAGCCCGCGTGACGTGCATGTATTCGATCATCTTTCCTCCCAGACATAGTGAAGAGCTTTCGCAAGCTCTGTGATTCCTCAAGAACTGAATAACCCAAGAGCCCATTCAGTTGATGGAGATAGCTCAAGATCTTTGGATTTGGGCGACAATGGGATGATGCAGTACCATGTTATATGGGATGGATAATAGAACATGAAGGACGGGTCATCTCTTTACCAGGGCCCGACAGGGTACGTAGGACTGAGATCGATCGAATGTGTGGAAGAGAAAGATGGCCAATGGGTGTTGGCTGCATCTTTATAATGATTGTTTTCGGTATTAAATTGCTCTTTCTGCTTATTGAATATTTTTAATGAATCGGATATAGTAGTCCAGTCTTTCATATGATCGGAGTGAAGGTTGCCATTTACATATATGCACTATAGAATGGACGTGAAGATACGTGGCTTTCCTCAGGTGGTTGTACATAGATTCCCTCCAGATATAGACGATAGTGAAGTCGATTCAAGGTCGTCCTATCGCGAAGAAGAAGCGTGTAAGGCTTTGCCTACTTCAAAGAGAACCATGATCTCTACCCGGTTAAGACCAGGACATAAGTACAAGGTACGAAGCCCTGTAATATGGGCAAAAGATTTATTTATACATGTGGGGTTCCAATTCAGCACCGGCAGATTCCCTGGACATATTCCAAGATCAAGATCTTCCAGACTGTTCACTGCAAGCGTGGATGGAATATTCCGGTTGAGTCAATATTTTTCGGGTTATCAGAGGGCGTGAATAGCATTCTGGCAATGAATAGCAGCACCCTATACTCGACCACTTATTCGCAGATCTAAGGTGACAGGGGCCAGAATCCTCCCAGAGGGAATATGCTAAGTAAATTGGGCCTCCGTAAACTTCACAGATTTAATTAGGGGAAATTTGAATAGGAAACCCATCACAATTCATTGAATTTCGTTGAATACCCAGAGAACACCCCCTGCTAGTGTCTTGCAACCCGGAGAAGAGTCAATGAGTCACTAAACTTTTCATACGCTTGAACGATTCTATAGACTTTTCAGAGGAATTATGTACATTAATGGTAGAATAAGATAGTCTAAATATATACCGATGAAAGTAGGGGTTCAATCAAATCCAAGAACCATCAGCACCAGCAACAGAAACCCCTCCAGGCCCCGATGGCTTCGCACCGGCATTGCTAGTCTTCCTAGCCCTGACCTTAGTCACCGAGAAACTCCGACCAAGACCCGGTGCCTTGTTCGTCGGCTTAGGTTCGTTGTTTTTCTCCGTGGTATCTTCAAGACGCAGCACTACCTCCACAGCCTTGTCATCCTCGATAACCTTGGGATGTCTCGTGGCGAAGTACCGGGCGTACTTGAACAGGGACCAGTAACAGCTGACGACGTTGATGATGAAAAGGACGATTTTGTACGGCATGTAGTAGAGGAGCAAGCATTTCCAGGTGACGGTTTCCTTTTTCAGGCGTAGGTGTACCAGGTTGAAGATGATGACGTTCAGGAAATACAAGCCGTTGGTGACGCCCAACATGATGCCGCAGAATGCTGGCTGGACAGCAAGAGAGATCGGTAGGACGAAGGGAGCGAGGAGGTATAATAGTGTTTCGTAGACCTGGTTTTAGTGGGTAAGCATGAGATCTTATTTCTCAAACATACGCAGTGATAGAACCAACCTCTTGAAAAACAAACAGCTTCGCACCCAATTCCCAGAATCCGAGGTTCCAGCTGCACAAGATATACTTCATGTTGTACCACATGCCATTGACAAAAAAGAAATTCCAGCGCGTGAACCTCTGCTTGAAAATGGTCATTTCACCGAAACCTCCTCGCGAGCCTCCTGAACTGAAGAAGACTGCGGATGGGGTCTCTGTCTCGACGAATACGGCAGAGCACATGGTAATGCGCCCACCTAGTCGACGGCAACTATCACCGAAAAACCAATCTTCAGACACAGAGAATCCTGGATGGTCATGGAAGGTCTGCTTGAGGAAGTCGGTCTTCCATAAAGAAATGGCTCCATGCGGGAATGTGGCGCTGCCAAGGATACCGGCAAATGCACGCTGAAGGCCTGATATCTTGTACTCGAGGTCCTGTGCCTGCTGACATAGGGTTCCGCGTGAGGACTCTGGCCCAACACTCTTGATAGTATATCCGATACATTGTATGCGGCCTTTTAGTCGGTCGCTAACGACAGGGAAGTTCGGAGGCAGTGCGCAGTCGTCGTCGATCAGGAGAACATGGGGAAAGTCTTTAGCCGCGTAACAGCCAACAAACTGGGCAATAATCTTGCTTCCAACTGGACACCATAGATGATTAACACCGTATGGCCGGCATACCTCTTCAGTGTTGTCTAATGGCTCTGGAGAGTTGCCGTTCGCAATGACGAAGATGTTCTCAGGCGGAAAGATGTGTAGTGCCGCGTCGAGTGTAGGGCCGATGATGTTGGCAGATTTATAGCAAGGAATTAAGAGCGCTGTACTTTTCGCTGAGTTTCGATTGCCCTCAAGGTCGGCCTCTTTGGATTCGCTGTTCACCGGGGGAGGGTTCTTCTCGAACAGAAGTAACAAGGGAGTAAACGCGTAGCTTTGTAGTAGGTCATTAGTTTTTTGTCGTAAAGACGATGAGCGATACCTACAGAATAGCAATGCCAATTGTGATTCCCCATCCACCCGGGATGACAAACTTGGTACGCACTACGTAGTAGAGCCACCACACGGCGCCCCGCCAAAGAGGCATGCCAATGAGGACGAAGTAGATGAAGGCCAAGAGAAAGATATAGACTGTATATTCAAACAGGACCTGCACCCAGTACTTTCTCTGCAGGGCGACACGCCTTTCTTTAGCTTTCTCGTACACATCGTATATACTGTGCCGGTTTGTCCTTTGGGGAGGCTCTTCTGTCGGCTCAATGCGGGAGATACGGTAACTGTGAGGTCGGGGTGGAAGAGGCCACGCGTCACCCCTCGTCGCCGGAATAGACTCGCTCAGTTGTCTGCTGTGTGCTCCAAGGTCGTCCTGGCCATGCTGCCACTGGACTTGAGAAGATCCGTTGGGAGAGAGCTGTGCTGGCTCGATTTCTGCAATCGTAGATATCCCGGATACACTCAAGGGCGCACTCTGGCGCCGGAGGCGAGTATCCTTAGGCTTTTGTGGGTGCGAGCTGTTGACACTGGCTGATCGGCGCAGTTGACCAAATTGTCTTTCCAATGCCTCTTCACGGATGGCCTGATGAACAGGGCCAGGTCCAGACGCAGAGGACTCGTCATCCCGAGCTGCCCAGGGACCATTTACTTGGGTGGTGGCGGCCAGGAGATGGGCAGGAATGACCACATCTTCCACCATGGAATTGCGAGCATGCTTGCGTGACATTTCCCCTTGTAATTTTCGATTTTTCTGGCCATCAAGACTTTTTGGCTGGAACCGTCCTTTAAAGGCCGGAGCCCGGTGGTACAGCGTCCAGGAACAAATGCCGGTGTCCACTTAGATGTGCACTTGAACCCAACTGAAAGCTTTACTAGTCGGGCTAGAAGCCGGTCCAAGTAATCATCCTCCGGAGTAATACTCATCATCCAGAAGATTTCGTCAAGTGTGCGGATCAGCAATTCAAAATCACCAATGGGCTGTGATGACCTGGGTCTGAAATTGTGCTATGGTTGGACAGGAAGCGTGTCCAGGTCCTCCGCAGAACCGGACAGCAATCGCCACCAGCCTAGAAACATGTCCTATGTAAGCCTGGCGGAGCAGTTGGGCTAGGGGATCGACTCCATAGAAACTATGGGATCCGCCCCTACTCCGCCGTCCAATTCGAGACCTAGCTTTTGTAGTGTGTGTACAGAAATCACAGTAAGGCATAATGCAATTCTTGTATTTGTTTTCGCACAAGACAAGGCATTGGACTATTGGACTATCCGCATGCCGGAAACATTTTTCGAAGCATCATAGTATCTGCGGCAATGGCTGAAGCCACAAAGCTTCAAGTAACCTTCGCAAGAGCCGTACAAGATAAACAAGGAATAACAAGGTCGTAGACCAAAACCAACAAGGCCAAGCTAGCTTTTACGTAACCAGCAAGCACGATGGCTACTATTTCGAGCGGAAGGTGTCGCAATCCACGGAAAGACGATGGCATGGTGGCCCCAGCCCTCAAGTGTCGGTAGTTAGATGGGTCCGTTCCTGAGACATCCGGCTAGTTTTGTCTATTTTTGTGCGATTAAGTTTTGCGCCTCAGTACGTGGCGGAATGACCCGGCGGGCTTAGGGCTGGTCGGTGAGCGTCATCCACGTTCGCAAGATCTCCACTTAGCGGGCCGATAGCAATCTTCGGTTCCTGAATGAAATAACAGGAAAGGATCAGCATTGTTTTGGTTTTTAAGACAGAAAGAGCATCGTGATTGGAAATGTCTCATCCGGTTTTCTCTAGCAGTGAAGATTCTTCTCGTTGACTTTTGTTAGTTTGGTACGCGAAATGAACATGATCGCGTAGTATGAAGCCCATTGGCGATGATGGTGTTCGCTTAGCCAGGGAAAAAACAAACATCACGCTAAAAGTAACGGAAGGAGTCCGTGGGACTCTCTAGAATACGAGCTGGAAGAAATGGACCCCGATGGCTGCACAGGGAATTGAAAATAGCATGTCAGCAGGACCCTTTTTCAAATGGGGGCGAGATGCCAGCGAGGATGAAACAGCGATGGTGTGAGAGGTTGAAAGTGACAGCAGAAAGGGTTCAAAGCCATCACTTAGACCTGATGCTCTCCCCCTTTCGTTCAGAATGGCACTTTGCCAGAAATCTGGCTTCATGATGTCTTGTCTCTACGAAGAACCTACAAAACTTCCGAATCAAGAAATATACCCTCGAGTGGTCAACCACATTCATATCATTACGAACATTATTACTATTCATTATGGAACATCTCCGGTCGCGTCGGCCCAACAATAAGGCGCGACAACGAAGTGCCTAAGCACTAGCCTGCAAATCCTGGGCGATCATATCGGTCAGGTTGTTCAAAGTTGCCTTGAAAAGCACGTCGAAGGGGACATCGACTTCGAAAGTGCGGTGGATAAACATCCGAAGCTCGGCAGTCAGCATGGAACCCATACCAGCCTCGTTCAGAAGCTGGTTCGCATCCAGATCGGTCTCAGGCAGAAGGATTAGGTTGGAAATCTTCTGCGATATAATCGCGCGAACGGCATCGTGGGCAAAGGGCTCAGTGAACGCAGCGTGGGCATCCTTCACGAGCGGCTCGACGGCCGGGGCTGGGTGCATGTACGCCACTTCGGAAGCCATCTTGTAGTTATTGGAGATTGCCGGTAGGTTGAGTTGTTTGGGAGAGGGGGAAGTGTCGGAAGAACGACTTGGCTGTGCAGTAGCTCACGGAGATAGAAAAAGTTGGGATGGGAAGAGTCCAACTGAAGACCCTCTGATACGTTATGGGATATTGACAACGAAAAGCAACGAAATATGAGACTGATACCTAGGGAACCAATACTAGCTAGTGGTCGCGTGCGCTTTATATACAGAGGTGAAGACATTACAGTATCAATATCGATGACTTCACGACTCATTGCGCTGATTCTGTATCCCGCTTCCGTCGTCGATAGATAGTACCCCGGCATGATGACAGAATGATCAGCGATAAGATAGCATTCCAATAAGCTCCCCGAAGCTTATCAATGGCTGCTCATTCGATGAAATTATTCCAAATAAAGTTCGCCTTGGAGCCGAGCCCCCCGGGTTTCGGGAATGTCATGTGTTTTGGGGTAGCTTCATGCTCGGACGGCCTCTTGCGACAGCAATGACACTGACGCAACAGCGAGAATAGCCCGGAAAACTGTAGCAGTAGCATGTCTCTTGGTTGCAGAATGAGACGTAAGGCGAGGTTTGTCCACAGATATTACGACGTTTCGCCGCTTCCGTCCGACATTTCCATACCAGAGGACAGCTCCGCGGATTTTTGAGCTGAGCTCCGCGGATATTTATATCAGGAGGCAAGCCATTCTTTCACACTTGGCTGTGCTAACGTTGACTCAGAGAGATAGACCGCCTAGATTCCGATTGTGGGGTAGCACTTCTGAGTATAATCAAGAATTGTTTCGTATCGTATTTGAAACCTGGAATGGCATGGTTACATTGGCCCAGCTGTGGTTCCAGGAAGAAAAATGTTGTCTAATTGCCTCGAGGGTCGTCATTGGTACATCTACCGGTCGCATTCCTTTATACGCGGAAGGTAGATAAGTCTATCAAGATCGAATATTCTCTTCATGGTAATATATCCACTGAAAGGTCATTAGACTGAACCAATGGATTTCGGGATAGATGCCACAAATTCGGAAGGACCATCCTAGCCCTTCGTCGATCATTGAATCTGTTCCCAACTAGCAGTCTCTTATTGTTGTCAATTACACCGCTTCTTCATCCTGACTAGCAACAAAAGACATCTAAGCACTCGCTCGCAGACCCTGGGCAATTATATCGACCAGATGATTAACCGTAGTACTCCTCTTCAAAAGCACAATAAATGGAATGTCGACCTCAAACATGCGGAAAACAAAGGTTCGAAACTCAGCAGCTAGCATAGAATCCAACCCAGAGTCACCCAGAGGCTGATCCGCTTTCAGGTCATTCTCTGGCAGAAGAATAAGATTTGAGATTTTCTTCGACACAACAGCCCGAAGTGCATCAAGACAAGACTCCATATTTTGGTTATCGCGTAGCGCCCGTGCAATATCCCCAGGGAGTTGCGCCGCCGCATTCTGTGTTTCGCTTTTGCCCTCGCCCGCGGCGCCGCGGGCAAAGGACGCAGTGAACAATGCCGCGCGAGGATCAGCAAGGACATGGTTATCACCCTCGAATCCTCGTTCCCGCTGCTCCTGGAGACTGGTGAATTCCACACCGGTGAGAATGTGGCTTCCTGCCAGGTGATCGTATCGAGGGTCCCATGTACATGGCCTTTGGTTAACGAGAGCCAAATTCATGATCTGGATTAGTTCGTTTTCGTTGATGGGGTGGACGCCTGCACGCTTCATGAGCGCTTCGATGTCTGCGTGCTCGTGCAAATATCCTACTTCTGAAATCATTCCGTAGCCTATGGAAATGGCCGGCAGTCCGAGGTGGTTGCGATAACGAGCGAAAGCGTCCAGAAATGAGTTGGCTGCACAGTAGTTGCTTTCAGTTGCGGTGCCTATGGTCCCCGAGATAGATGAAGTCATGACGAAAAAGTCCAGCTGGGAGTCTCGACCCTTCTTCCTCAGCACATTATGAAGATTCCAAGTCCCCCGCACCTTGGGGCCCATAGTAGTGTACCATGCATTATGTGGCATATCACTCCATATAGCCTCGTTGAGTACCATAGTCGCTTGGATCACGCCTCCAATAGGACAATCTGCCGCTGCCACGGCCCGTTCGACATCCTCATAGCGGCAAACATCGCCCCGGATTACTATGATATGGGCCCCTTGCGCTTGTAGATCATCAACCAAGTCCTTCGCCTCGGGTTTGTCAGTACCCGAACGACTGAGAGATATGAACCGTCGAGCACCGCAAGATATCATCCATTTGGATATACTGCGACCTAGCCCGCCCAGGCCCCCGATCATGAGATAAGACTTCTGGGCAATAAAGGCTGTTTCATACTTCTTCGGGATGACCCTGATCTTGGTGTTGGGAACTTGGAATGACACAGTTACTTTGCCCAGCCGTGTGCCTAAGGAGAAATGCCTGAATGCATCGGTGATATTCGACGCTTCGAATGTCTTGATCGGGAAACAAGGCTCACAGATCTTGGCTCTCATTAATTGAAGACTCTCTGTGAGTAGGGTCTTCCAAAGTCTGTGATGGGTATGGTTCTTCGAGAGATAGAGATGAGATAGATCAAAGGCTATGAAAGCGACGTTGCGACCGAACGTGGACATATCCAGGAGGCCATGATCAAGGATGTCACGTTTCCCAATGTCGATGAAGCGGCCAAAGTCGGCACATGCTTCAAAGCTGCTGCGCAGAAGGTCGCCAGTCAGGGAGTTCAATACTACGTCAACTCCTTGACCAGATGTGGCTTCCATGATGGCGGGAAGGAAGGATGAATTCCGCGAGCTGAAGATATGGGTTGGATCTAAACCATACTTTTCCACGAGAAATGACTTTTTAGTTTCGTTTCCGACGGTGGCAAAGATCTTTCAACTAGCTTAGCCGATTTATCGGAGTTTATTACCGCTGCGCCTGCAGGTTTCTTACCTTGGCTCCAAGATGCTTCGCGTACTGGATCGCCGCCATTCCAACACCCCCAGCAGCGGAATGAACAAGAACGGACTAATTGGGTAAGCCTAGCCTTGCGACTTAGAATATACAGTGCTTACCTCTCCTGGCTGCAAATGCGCCCGATGATGCAGTGCATAAATGACTGTTGAAAATACCAGCGGAATTGTGGAGGCTGTCTGTATACATGGATGAGCTCCTATTCGTTGATACGGACCTATCGCTTACTGTGAAGTCCTCTTCATCGCGCAATTTCAACACTGCCCATTCTGGCAAGCACTCGACGGTTGCAAAATGACTGGGTGCCATTGCAACTACACGATCACCAATCTTGAATTCCGACACATTGTCGCCCACTGCTGTGATGACACCGGCACATTCACACGAACATGTTGTATCCTTGGTGTCAACCTTCGCGCTGATGGCATACAGATCCTATATCCTTTGTTACTGACAGCGCTGATAAACTCTAAGCGTGAGATATACCTTTGCGTTTATACCAACACTCTTCACGCTGACCTCCACATAATCCGGATGCAAGGAGGTTGAATAGTCTTCTTGTACGAAATGGATCGTGTCCATGTGCCCCGGGTCCTTGATATCTAATTTGCATCGTCCGGCATTTGCTAAGGAAAGATCCATGGTTCCGTTGTTTTGCTTGAGGCGGAAGGCTTCATTCAGACGCTCGTCTGGTTCCCAGCGCGATATATGGAGGATGCCATCTCGTTGGGCGAATTCAAAGTCCGGCTCGTTTTCATGGATCAATCGATCCAATACATTGATGATGTTACGTAGGGTTTCTCCAGATGATGCTGATTCATCATCCACATCTAAAACCGCGAATTGAAGTGAAGGCTGTTCGAGCATCAGCGCACGGGAGAGCCCTAGAACCGGCGCGAAGTCGGGCTTCTCTCCATCGATAAAACCGCCATTGACGACCCATACAATCTTGGCTACACGATCGGTGATATTTTTCAGCAGTGCCATTTCACACTCGTTCATACTGATCAGAAGCGGCTCCTGCTGTTCTAAAGTGGATATGACGAATGCCCGGTCCGGAACGGTTGCGGGGCTGACCTGGGACAAGCTAACGATAGTGACGGGAGATCCAAGATGTTCTTGTAGGATCTTTTGGAGCTTTATGTCTAGAGGTGTGATATTCTCATCTCGGGTCACCTGTACCCTTGTCAGAAATAGACGCTTTCAGAGGTGGTCGAAATAGCTTACCACGACTGTCGGGGTTTCGATGATCGTTCTCTGGCTAACGAGGCCCTTTATAGTCCCAACTGTCACGGGGAAAGAGTCACTTCCTCTTATGGTCTTTGTCCAAGTGATACCGTCGCTGGGAACATCCCCTATCGTGATGACAGTTGCCCCCGGTGCGAGTCTGCTGACAATATCCGGCGTCCAGTTAGTGTTAGAGTAAGTCGGACTTGCGCAAAGCTAAACATACCGAGGGGACGAAAATTATATCGAACTTCTTGTCTTGCGGGATTCGATCCGAATTGTACTCATCTTTTGTCTCCGGAAAACCCCCCACGCCGACTAGATCGCCGTTTACCAGAACCCCACAATGATAGGACTTGTACCTTCTGAAAGAGGAGTCAACACCTAGTACGCCACGAACAGACTCTGAAATCTGCATTTGACTCCCCAGTTCGAGGATGTTGCTATTACAACGTTGATGACAGGCCAAATCCAGGACACCGACCAAACACAGCACGTCGTTGGTCGCTTTATTAGAGCCGTGAACCCGAGTGAAATGTTCCAGATAATTATCAAGACCCTAATTAGTCAATGCAGAGAGATCTGGCTTCCACGCAGCTCTCAGCAGGGGATTGCGTTTTTCAGTTGTTTCCGCCTGCCTGTTCCCTTGATAAGCAATACAGCGAGCTTGGCTCATTCTTATCAACACTTTTCCAGACGAATTAAACAACTCTGCATCGATTCTATGCGTTCCAAAACCCACGACCTCTGACTTGGTGTCAACATACCATGGCTTATTCGTATCCATGTCAAGGGCCGACGGAGGCGCGACGTATACCGAGTCCATTGCAACAGGAACCGTCGCGCGGAGTTTGCTCACCCAGCCACCAGTAGTCACAATAAATGATGTTTGTAACATTGCATCTATAGAAATCGGGTTTGCAATGTACCGACTAAATCTGTCTCCGCGCTGAAGATGTGTAGTAGATGCTGCTATGGGCGCCGTCCGCGCGCGATCCCGGAAAATCTCCTCCAAGACAGCGAACCGAGGTCCCCAGTTCAACCCTACTTGAAGGAACCTGTCGTACCAGACGCGGGCTGCATCTTTCTGCATCATTGATTTATCAAGCTTGATTTTCCGATCTATGCATGGCGAGGAATCTGCTAGCCGCACAGCCGCATTCATATGCAAAGTTGCCCGTGAATCGCCGTCGATCGAGACGACACTGAAATTCCACCAAGTGTCCGAATTTGTCACACTAGAGATAGCCATCGGGCGCATCTCAGAAAAGATCTCCACCGATGGCTTCTTCTTGAGGTCCATATCGAGTGCTTTGACGAAGTTGAGATTGCGAAGTTCCACTCCAGGACTATCTTCCAGCTGTAGCCCTGCAACCTGGCACATTGCTTCCACTATCATCGCAATATACGCCGCGGCGGGGAATAATACCCATGCACCCAGGCAATGGTGAGTCAACCAGTCGGCCTCATTGAGGTCCAGTATATTGCGCCACGTCACACCTGCGGTGTTCCCTCCTGATACTTGTGATCCTAGGAGCTCGTGCCGTGGGTATTTGCGGTGACGAAACTCGACACTGGCGCGAGGCTCAGTCCATAGGGTGGGTGAGCTGTAGTCCCAGGGGTAAGGCGGCAAGTCGACTAAGACGTGAGGTTGGGGGGTATCTACGAACATCTTATGGTACTGAAGCTCATCGTGTCCATGCAAGAACAAGGAACCGACAAGTTGAAGGGTGGTTAGCTGGGCATCTTGGTGGCGTATGAGAGCAGAACTGTAGGCATAGCGACTCTGTTTCATGACTAAGGCAGTCTGCTTTATGGGGAGCTGTAAGGCCGAGTGCGGACCGATTTCTATCAGATGATAACTCCCTTGCTCCAAGATGATTTTGATGGCCGCGTCAAACTGTACTGGGGATTCGAGATTCGAGCGCCAGTATTTCGTTGTCCCGACTTGATTTGTACTGATCCGGCCACCGGTCGCAGTTGAAATCATGGTCACTGATGGCGTGGGAGTATCCCCTTGACCATCAAGTTGGCCATTAGCGTAGCCGTTGACTTTCTCACTAACATGGCCATCAACGCTTCCATTTACGTAGCCGTTTACAATCTCATTATCATGACTGTTAATATGACCATCAGAAAAGCCGTTAGGATATCCATTGACGTGACCATGCACTTGACCGTTGACTTGACCACTGATCTGGTCATCAGTCATACTTCAATAGCGCTCGAGTAAAGCCTCATATCTCGGCCTCACAGCCTTCATATGGTGCGAATGATACGCTGTACCCCCAGTCATCAATTTCCGTGCCCAGATGCCTCTCTTTTGAAACACTCTGAGTAGAGAATATATGGCGTCTGCATCGCCACTAACGGTAGTACTTTCCGGAGAGTTCGCACATGCGACGATAGCAGACTCTGTTAACCCACATTCCTCGACTATCGCCTGTGCCTGGTCTTTTCCAAGACCTACAGCAACCATGGAACCTTCAGCAGAGACCTCAGAAACAACAGCTCCACGAAAGTAAGCCGCGAAGATGGCTTGCCGGGCATCGATAGCCCCAGTAGCGTACGCTGCCCCTATCTCACCAGAGGAGTGGCCAACCACCGTCTCCGGGGAAACACCCCAGTCTTTGAGCATATTTGTCAGCGCGATCTGCACCGCAGTGCAAAGTGGTTGTGATATTTCTGCGGCGCTGATATCGTGGTTTTCTTTACCGCGCAGAATACCCTCAAGCGTCCAGGTGGGAGTATCTTTCGGAGCCAGAGTTTGGAGGCAGGAATCGAGATACTTGATGGTACTTTCGAACACGCTGCAATTGCTAAAAAGCTCCTTCGCCATGCCAGCCCACTGTGTGCCCTGTCCGGTATACACAAAACCCAACGGGAATGGTTCTTCATTGTCGAGTCCTCTTAACCTCAGGTTTGACATATCAAGCCCCTTGTTCAGACTCGCCTGAGATTCGATGAAAAACCCACGAGTACCCATCTTGGAGCGACGGCAGCTCAGCGTGTATGCCAGGTCATTGATTGGAACAGGATGAGCTGAGTGAGAAACGAGTTCAGCCAAATCACTGGCCATCTGTCGGAGGGACGTCTCAGACCGAGCCGAAAAAGGCAAGAAATAGAGCCTGTCTGAATCTCCCCAACCGGCGACTCCCCATACCCGTTGGTCACCAGGTCTGGCTCCCACGCTTCCACAATAGCAACGCTATTTGAGCCCCCAAAACCAAACGAGTTGACTGAGGCTCGTGGGTTCTGGGATCCCGGCCACGCTTGATTCGCAGTGACAATGTCTACGTTCCATTCCTTGCATTTGATCCTCGGATTGATCACTTTCACCCCAACCGTCGCAGGGATTATCTTATTCTCGACTGTTAGGATGGTTTTAATTAGACCCGACAGACCACTCGCCCCTTCGCTGTGGCCCAAATTGGGTTTGACTCCGCCAACGAGCGTTGGGCGTCCTGCCCGATGCTGAAAAACACCGGATATTGCCTCAACTTCTGTAGGGTCACCAACTTTAGTGCCAGTCCCATGCGCCTTTCATTATCAGCATATAGATTTGCCACCATTCGAGGAAGCGTACCTCGACATAATCCGTCTCTCCCGGATCCAGACCCGCCCGACGATACGCCGCCCGAATAACGGCCCTTTGCCCTTCCACACTTGGCTGAGAAATGCCCGGTGTTCGACCATTTCTTTGCAGCATGATTAGCATCTAGCCCTACCACCAAAATGGAAACTCACCCATTAACAGCAGTCCCCCTAATGACCGAACGAACAGGATCCCCATCGCTCAGTGCATCACCCAGCCTCTTCAAATAAACAGCCGACACCCCCTCCGCCCTTGCATACCCGTTCGCCTTTTCATCAAAAGTGTGACACATCGCATCCGGCGACAAAACTCCCGCCTTAACAGCGACCATCTGCTGCTCCGGTGATTGAATTAGATTCGCAGCCGCCACGACAGCCGCATCACAGTCCCCAGCATCCAGCGCCAAGCAAGCCGAATGCAGCGCATACAAGGACGACGAACACGCCGTATCAACAACATGCGACGGTCCCCGTAGATCAAAGCAATGCGTAATGCGATTGGCCAGCACAGCCAAGCCTGTTCCTGTGGCAGTATATCGGGAGGAGTACTCCGGGTCTTTGTACTGCATGTTCAAGAAGTCATTGGTGAAATTCCCCACATAGACGCCGGTGTTGGTCCCGTGGACTTTTTCTAAAGGTATTCCCGCGTTCTCGAGCGCTTCGTATGTCACTTCGAGGAGCTTTCGCTGTTGCGGATCCATGGATGTCGCTTCCAGGTTGTTGATTCCGAAGAAGGCATTTTCGAAGGCGCGAATGTCTTCTTGGATAAAGTATCCGCCGGTAGAGTTGATGCTCCCCGGTCGGTCGGCGTCGGGGTGGTAGTATGCTGCGGCATTGAAGCGTGAGGGTGGGACGGGGCCATAGCCTGTTGCATTGTTGATGAGGAGGTCCCAGAGTTTGGATGGGGATGAGGCTTGGCCTGGGAGGCGGCATCCTAGGCCAACGTTAGTATGGAAGTATCATGGGTTTGGGAGGGAGTAAGGTTTCTGACCTATGCCTATAATGGCGATGGGCTCGCAGGGAGTAGTTGATGTTGAGTGCTTCATGCTAGGGCTCAGTTATGGCGTTCAGACTTTATCGATGATAGTTTGTGATAACATCTGATGTAAGAATAATGGAGTGCTTATCGGACTATTTATTCGCAGCTTCTTTAAGCGAAAACTATATAAAGGTCAAGTTTTCAGATACATGAATCCTGAATTCGGGACGTGGTCAAACTTCAAAATGAATGCTGCGTGAATCATCATGATACGCATTGCCGAATAAAACTGGAAAAGAAAGCGGAAATCAAGACATACAAAAACTGGGACGATGCGTTAAATTTCCTGCTTCGGCATGCTTATCTGTTTGTTGGTACACGTCTCCGGTTCCTACAGGCTATCCACCATTTCTGCAGAGATTGCTGCCGCTGTCAGTAAAGTTTATTGTAGAATTTGCCGTAGAAGATGGGGTAGTGCATATTCCAAGTTACAAGATCCGGAATAAACTTGCCCTTGATTCGAACCCGGCTGCTTCTCCTTGACCGGGGGTAGTTATAGTACCCAAGCGATTTGTATCGGTCGCATTTCTTAGTTTGGGATACAGGAAAATGTACCAAGCCTAGTATTTCCCATAATGGAACGCTTCGATGTGTTTCTAGTCAGTAAATGTCAAGCAAATATCACACACATTAGAAGAATCATAAGAACCCTCCTATTCCCGACCCCATCCCAATGTAGCAACCACTACTCTTCCACCCCCAACTCCCTTAACAAATCCGCCTTGATATCTTTCAAAAACTCCTCCATCTGCTGCTCCGTATGATACGCCTCATTAAACACTAGCCTCAACGTCAACTGATCCCGAAACGTCCAAACATACACCACGCCCTGTCTTGCAAGCATCTCCACCCCAAGTCCCGCATACAAGATACTAAACCCACTCTCAGGACTTCCATACTCCCTCTGCAAATACTTCTCTAGAACCCCTAAACTACTGATATCGACATCACTCGGCGGCTCATCCGGTGCCGGAAGGTTCCGCAGCAACTTCACCAACATAGTCGCATATTCGCGATGAGCGAGGATATACTCTTCAGTAAGGCCCCGCCGATACTCAGCGTGATACTTGCGCGCATTCTCTTCCCAGGTACTTGAGGCGTCGACGCGGTACATCCAGCCCGTGGTGAACAGCGTGGCGGCTCCTGCGGGGCCGGAGTATGGTTGGGGCATATACGGCCGCAGCGTGTGCCGGATAGTGCTGGTATAGTGACGACCCTGGGCACGGTGCTCGGGGATAGCATGCCGGAAGTTTACTGCTGCGACGCTTGCGTGCGTGGCGGCAGTAATGCCGAGGCCCCGGGCTTTCGTGGCGGAGAGAACAGCGGCGGTGGTCGCCGGGGCGAAGGTTAGCTCGGCGGCTCGGGTGCCCGACGGGATGGTGGTGGCGTCGCCCGTGTATGGGATTCCGATGGCGCCTTGGGCGTAGGCGAAGGTCTCTACTACTTCCTGTGCGATGTCCTTTTGCTCGTCTGTCGGGGTTAGGGTCATGTTGCCGGCTTCTTCGACGGATAGGGATAGTCGGGTGGTTTCTGTTCCCCAGGTGGAGGCGTCGAAGGGGTCGGGGAGGTTCCCTGAGAGAATGGTGTCGGCGTGAGTGGACATTAGGTCAACGAGCTGGCCAAGGAGGAGGAAGCCGCCTACTCCGTCAGTGCGCCAGTGTGCGGTGTGCAGGAGGATTTGCGAGGATTTTGGGATGTAGTAAAGTTGGGCATCAGGGGCGGGTGCGATGGTACGGATCACATCGTCGGCGGATTGGGCGTCCGATTTGATGAAGAAGGTTTGCGAGGCCCATTGGTTGAGGGTCTCGACAGAGTCGGGGATTGTGTACACGAGTTTGGCGTTGGAGGAGTCTGGATGCGCGGCTAGACTAGGGTGTTGGAAGCGCAGGTGCAACCAGCTGTGGCGGATCAGGGCTGGGAGGAGATCGGCTTCGAAGTCCCCGCGGGGACGGATGGTGATAGTGTAGTTCACTGCCCAGTGTTCACGGCCTAGTGGGTGGCCAAAGTCACTGACCAGCTTGATGAACACCTCGTTAGGGCCAAGGGGCCGGGTGAGAGTGTTCGGCGAGTGCTCGGTTGTAGTCCACGGCATGATTGTGAGAAGTGTAGTGGCCGTTGCGGGGTCGATGTAATAATAATGGTCGATGGTTAAATAGATGATTGAAGTGTTACTAGGTTCTAAGCCTCGTCTACTGGGGGCCTAAGATGTTAGTGGGGTGGGAATAGGCTGTTAGTTGTCGCACTATAAAGTATAGCCTCGTCCGTGCTGATCCGACATGTGAGATGGAAAGGCCACTGTCTATCATGCAATCCTCAGTGGAGCGCGATACAAATTTCGGCAGCGCAATCGGCCGACTAATGGAAACACCCACCATCATTAGAGACGAGTTTTTACTTGATCCAGCAGGTTATCCGTTGAAAGTAAGCACTACCAGCGCACTAGCATGCATTACTCGTTCCAGTCAGATTGAGCCCCACTATTCAGCCATGATAATACTACCTGGCTGAAGGAACTGAAATCAGAAAGAAGACAGCGTGTTATCATGGATATGATTATAACATACATGGTTCAACAACACTCAAGTTGGTCCATCAAGCTCATATTCCCAACGCAGGTGGACGGTGCAACCTCTCGAGTGATTGCAGTCCTTGACGGCAAACTCTGCGCTTCTCTGCTGATGAGAGAAGCATAGACGGACATCGGCCGAGTCAACGTTCGGTCGTTCTACAAGGGGTCTGAGTACTCCTCGCGTGATCTAGCAGTATTCGAAAATGAATGGGCACGGGTTGGGAATGAAGCCATCCTGCTGCCAAATGACTACCATACTACTTATGCTGCTGCGACTGATGATCTACCCACATTTCTATGGCCAAAATTTTGCGTACAGCAGTATCCTCAATGTCAGACTAAATGTAGACTTTCCAATGCCTCTCATCGTAGAACGGCCCTTCCAAAGGATTCTCAAAACTCATACTGATAGCCCCATGATGAAGGAGAGCCTCAATTGTCCTGGGACTTCGTATCTCCCGAGCATGGCATATAGCTGACATAAAACGTTCCGAGCGCATAATAACATCGATTCCTTGGGCCAAAAGAAACTCGAAAATTGCTTTCCTTCCAGAAACTACAGCTGCGAGCAGCGCCGAACCAAAAAAGCCTCCGCGAGAATTGATATAAGCTCCGTGCTCAAGCAAAAGCTTTGCAATGGGCACTGACCCCACATATAATGCAATATGAAGTGGATCACCTAGTGGGCGATTGGATGGATGCACCTGGGCTCCGTTGTTAAAAAGGTCACGCACTATTGATTCGGAGATATTTCGAACATCTTCGATTTTCCTCTCGAGGTGGGTTTTTTCGATCCCAAAGTCGTCGGTCCTATTTATCTGAGAGGTTGTTCGATCATAGTCGCTCCCCAAGGCCAGCTTTAACAGTTCCTCGCCTACTTTCTTCTCCAGTTCACAAGGCCTCACCCATTACGGCTTGGCTGTTCGGAAAAAACTGAACCTTCGAAGCCAGTACATCTATCATGCCTTCGCTTCCCACGTATGAGGCTTTCAGGAGAGCCTCGCAGTAGTCCGTCTTCGACAGCACATCAGGAGCTTTATTCATAAGAAGCTGAAAGACCGCATCGTGACCACCTGAGATGGCTTCCCTGAATCACGTTTTTCATAGATCCCTAGGAATGACATTTTCTAACACTTCCAGAAGAAATGCCAACGTCCGTTCAGCACCATGCCGACATGCCATTGTCATGGATTTCGACAGCAACAGATGTAATCTTGACGGTGCCACTTCCAACTTCACAGCATACTGAAGAACGTCGAGACTGTTGGACTTCGATGATTCATACAAAATGAGCTCCCACAGTCTTCCTACCTCCGAGTCCTTCGCTAAATGACAGCCGCAGATTACGGAGGCAAGCTTGTTCCCTCGGCATCCGGACAAGACGATTGGAAAAGCATACTCGCATTCGTATTTCGCCAGTACCTCCATCTGTAAGCTTTCATGCAACCCACAAAACATTGACACAACAGGGAAAAGATAGCTTACTGATGGCACGGTCACTACTCTCAAAGCCAGTTCAGAGGGACACACACTAGGCAGCCGTGCAGTACACCTTCAAATACTACGCGCAGTCCTCTACCTCCATTAACCTGCTATCACCAAACTATCCGAGTTATAGAAAACCACTTTCTTCCTGAATAAGGAAGCCCAAGAACATAAATCTGCCTCCCTTCCACCCTCCATCATATACACAAGCGTAGGGCTCATCAAGGTCTCGACATGAGCATCTCAGTTTGCCACCAACTACCGAAACATCTTCAATCACTTTCCTTAACAGCGCAATCGAAGTGATTATCTCTGTCCACAATCTCCCATATCCAGCGCCTCCGAAACACCATCGAAGTCCTCTTGTATTTAGCACAGTTCTTCCAGCATCGGGTTTCGAAACAAACCATGCCATGCAACTGCATCTGCACCGGTTGCTCAAGGACTTGCACGTCGTGATAAACCCCACCGTGTCTAGCAGCTTTAATTACAGCATCCATACCCGCCGGAACAGCACGATGAACCTGCCTCACCACTTTCCCAACACCTTCCATCCTTCCACTCAGTGATCTCATTTACCACCACCCTAGCAACCCTGCAGCTATGCCCGCTCTGAAATCCTTTCACCGGAATAGCATGCTACGCCACGGCCAACGGCTCCAGAGATGCCCCGAACCTCTAACGAAACATTTCCAGGACAGAATGCACGAGATAATTACTACAGTCTTATCTGCAAAGCCAACCTGTGCGGGACGAAAACCTCACGGGTGCTCTCTTTGCTTTCTGGCGGATGTTGCAGGGACCGAGGCCGTGGTAGTCTTTATTGACTAAATGTTACGGTAGACACGCAGGTCTCTGAGAGCCTCCGAAGACGCAAAAACCGAATACAAGTGCCCTGCCTGGTCTTTTCGAGATTATGATTGGCATTATTACTCTGGAGGCAGTTTTTACAGGACATCTGAGGCTGAGGGACATTTTTTATGTGCTTCTAATTATATCGCTTACATGCCTTGCCGGCTTCCTCGTAGATTGCTGTGCTTGAAATTTTTCAAGAAGGTTCCTGAAAACGGGTCCACCGCATAGACAAAGTTGGATAGGCATGCATGATCCCATAAAGCCGCTTTATTAGTTGAGATCATTTGTACGGTTGAGGTTGCCTAAAGGGCAACATTATAGGAAAGGCCATCGCAAAGGCATGGGCTTACGCGTTAAAACTAACCCGTGGAAAGCACGATGTCAAGGCCCTTTCAAAGCACCTTAACGGAAACCTGCATGGTGTAGTTCGTTCAAGGCCCTCAGAGATGCACCTGCCATGCTTGTGAACCATTATCCTGTGTCTTATCTGGGCTTGGGGAGCACGTGGGCCTCAGGACCATGGGGATAAACGCCGAAAACGCTGGGTAGAAGGAACCGCATACGCCCCGTTTGAGTTAGCGGAGGGGGTTACGGATGCAGAGGGAACAAGCATGTTGAAAGCAAGATATATAGATTAGAGAGAGAGAGAAGAATAAAGAAGAAAGAGAAAAGAATCTGCACCATTGTTAATTAAGTGGGGGATCATCCAAAAGCCCATTAAGGTGATTTGGGAGATAAGTCTACCGCCACAAATCTCAGCAAAGGATCGAATGATGGTTTGATGCCCCAAGAAATGGGAAGAAAAGGGATAAGGGATTCCAGGCGCACAATTCATGACAAAATCATACAACAAAGTTCTATGACATAATGGGAGGTACACAAACGGCACTTCACAAGCAGAACATTGTAACCCGAATCTTGTCTGTTTATGAACCTTCTAAGATTCTTTTTGCCTTGTTACCGACCATGTCAGCGTCAATACAAACTAATCGCTTCCGAGATTTAGGTTCTATGTTGATAAATCATATTTCCCAGAATGAGCAGCTACACTTTTCACAAAACCGCCAAAGTTTATATGAAATTACTATAGGTGACAATGTATTCACCAATGTCTCTATAATCTCTAATTGACCAAATTAACTCATGAGTATTCGCTTCCCAGTCACTCAAAACGAACTGTCCCAGGGGGCCATTACTTCGTCAGAGGGTATTATGGGCGATCAAACAAGGATACCCCAACTGTCTAGGGCCATAGAACGACTTTCCGTGGGACTCTCCAAATCCGTCCGGTGGCGCCATAATGGACGAGTGCCTCGATCCTACGGAGCACAGTGCAGTGCAATTCCAAGTAGTACATGATGACATGGGGTACGAATCCCAGCTCCGCATTCCAGCAAAAGCTTCACCACGGGACACTGACCCCGCATATGATGCGGTATGGAAGGGGCCGAATGAATTTGAACTTCAAGGTATGGCAGCTATAAGCTTTATAGTCAAAACCTTAGCAACAATACTAGATGGAGATAGTTGTATAATTATATAATAATTGAGTAAACATAGGTTTTACGAAATGGAACTCGAGTAGCACCCATTAAAAGATCGAATGAACTAGGAAACTCTATGCTAATAATCTGCATTCGACCGATAGTATGACCTCCGTATAAAGACCTATATGGTCCAGAAGAGATACCGACGCTCGCTAAAAGTAGACTAATCCATGAGATCAATAGGAATATATCTTAGCCCCTAGCATTCATTCTCTATGGTGTATTCCCAAGTCAAGGAAGTCGCCGAATGCTATATCGTGCGCTTTCTAGATATTCTGCGCAAAAGCTCCCGGCTCCGGCACGTGATAGCTGTCACTAATTGAAGTTTATCTGCAAACGGCATAGAAACTATAACCTCGGTCCAATGAACTGAGCTAATGAATCATCGACTAATAACAATCTCGCTGTTCTAGCCTCAACAATGTGCTTTGTGATGGCGTGTACAGGCTCGAAAGCGGTCTTTTTTGCGGTCTAGATAGATCAATTCATATTGCATACCGTCCGCCGTTTGCAAATAAATATTAATAAAATTGGGAGAAATATGCCGTATCTACTTGATTGTTTGGCGTAGGCCACATAATAGAAGGTAAATAAACTCTTGCCCTCTTGAATCCGCCAGTGTCATTTTTCGAAGCGGTTAGTAGCAACGTCATGCACTGGGTAGTGGAGACCTTCGCACCCCACTCAAGCCCTGTCATTGGTCTACTTTTACTTTTGGTAGAATGAATTGAACCCTTATTTTACACTCTACAGGAAACGACATAATAGTACCAGCTGTACCTCCCTACATATAAAAGGGCCGTGATATATCCTGAGGTTCGGAACCAACATTTGTTTCTAATGTTCCTTCCATTCACCAAATCTACCACATCGCGATTCAAGATTGAACTTCACTTTACCTACACTGTCCCCCAAGTGCGAGTCATCATGCCCACTTCTCAAGGAACCTTCAGATGGACGGCTCCAAATCTAGCAGATGCAGAATTCAATGTTGACGGTACATTTTCCAGATGCGATATTACTCTCAATGTACCGATTCCGAATTTCGGAAAGACATCAGCAACATTGAATTACGATGATATAAGCCAACTCTCCGGCACACAATTCTTCGATGGCCATATTGGTAGAGTAGACTTTGAAACCGATTTTAAAAACGCTCCCAAGATCCAAGGCAACCTAGACACGCCTATCGACAAGTACATACCCGTTAATGGGAAAGGAAGGTGGGTAGAGTTCTTTTCGGATTGAAAGTATGTACTATTGTCAGACTTTACTAGCAGGCACTTTCTCCTGGAGGCATCTTTGAAACGCTAACAAGTTTCCTGCAGAAGCTGAAGAAATATTCTGACTAGCCCGGAAAAGCAAGCTGGTAGGAGGTCTTTATTTCTAAAACATGTCTCTCTAAGTATAATCATGATTTCTTCAACCTTTGCAAGCCTCAGTACAGGTTTTTCCTCCTCAATTAGAGGGTTATTTTCCCTGCACTTATATGCGAATGCAGAGGCAACTGTAACCTAGTATAAGATGCTTATATCATCTTCAAATCTATTTGGTTTACTCTAGTCAATGAGATGAGGTCCCTCTTGTTAATTTGGGTGCACTTCTCCTCGTCACTTTCTGATCATTCATACTCTCGGAGCCGATACGGATTGACATTCTAGGTAGTTATGCAGTATACCCCCAACCAAGGACCAGAACGAACCATAGAAATATGGCCTCTCCCTTCCCGTCTTCCACCATATTTAGACATGGGCTTGACCATACTAGTTCTTCATCTAATCCCAAAACCCCCACCTAGCCACCCCCACATTAGCACTACTGAAGTGATCATTCCTTCGACCTCAGTTTTATTGACTCCAGCGCTGTCGTAATCACATCTGGCGGCTAGAGAATCTCTTGATAATTCACGCATGGGTGGGCAAGACATACGCGTTCTAGAAAGACAGGCAGGAGGGTGTTCAGGTCGGCTTCATCAGGACATTTAAACGCCTCCTTCATACGCGGGAATTTCAAGCCCTTACTCAGTAGGTATGGTAAATGTAGGGATTCTACGCCTTCTGCCTGGTATTCCTTTGCTTGAAAGGTAGGTCCCGGATGAGAATTCTATCAATATCGCCAAGCACCACATAGCCAACGGGAATGGTCAACTCAGGTCAATAATCGAGCACTTGTCCATTATCTTGCCTGGCACCTTTGTTGCTATTCAGAAAGTGTCAGGACAAGACTTAATATTTCAATACGATGTATCTGGGTCATCGGAACCTACAGGGAGCTTTTGAAATGTTAAACTGGTGATCTTGCCGCCATCGGGGGAATAGAATGATGTCGATTGGGGTTTATTAATATCATGGCTCGTGTATTTTCGAGTTGCTGGTTATGCACAGCTGCAGTAGTTACATAGTAAGATACGTGCCCTGCCTGGTCTTGCGGAGAATGCAGTCAGCATTATCTCTTTGTATGTTATTTGTATAGAGCATTTTGTGTGCTTCTGGTTACACGGCTTACATGTCTTGCCCGCTTGAACAGGTGGCTGAGCCGACTTTCTCGTAGATTGCTGCGTTTGGGGAGCAATCTATGAAGGTTGCTCGGAGCGGTGCAACTGTAGACTTCCGAGCCTATCAGTTTCCATGGGATAAGTTTGATAGGAGAACAACTATGCCAAAAGGTGGATCCACGTTCATATCTGCTATATGGACGGAAATACGCATGAATGATCGCTTAAAGCCGGTCCATTATCAGCTAAAGCAAAGTTATCATAGGACAGTACAACATATTGTGTTGAAACTAGGCGTCCACTCCACAATAACCGACGAAGAACATAACCTCTCATTGAAGTGTCTTTAATTGCAAATAATCCGCAACCTTGCCCGACACCATATCTGCCCTACAACCTAGTCTTTGAGGGCACACTTCTGGATGTGTTCCATGCTTTTGTGTTCATTTACGGTGTTATGCAAGTATAATATGGGATAGATGGGGCTTTAAGGGTTCGGGGTAGAGTTACTCGGCCAAGGTATCTTGTCGCTGTTTGAAACTTAACCTGAGCCACTTAGAGACGGTGGTCTTGTATAGCGTGTAATTGCTTTTCGAGGCCCTTCTAAAATCACTGAGCGGCAGTACGCATGGCGCAGCCAGATCAAGGCCCTCATGAATGTATACGTAACGCTCATGGGCAATGGACCTTCATCATGAATTGGGTAGGTTTTTCTGCCAGACTGACGCACGGAATTTAGTATCGAAGTCATTTCAAGTAGGATAAAAGTTGTGAAGCCTTTGTGGTCGGCTGAGAACCAAAAGCACGGACTGATTTGCTGACAGCTAGCATCCTTAGGCGGGGTCAGGTTGATAAGCGTTCCACTCGGCTGGACCTACTCAATCTATCATTATCTGCATGCTATTCAGCCAACTCTAAAGTATTAATATGTGATAGCTTTGCCGCACCACACTCGCCATGCTTGCAACTGTATAGAGAAACCGAACGGGTATCAAATTCTTACACACCAATGTCTGAACTTAGCGCGAGTTTCACATTTCATCACCTCGATGGGTATTTCGAGCGCATTGAATTACCCTCACGATTTCGGCGCGAGCAGAACCCCAAGCTCGACCGAGAATTCTTAGCAACTACTCAGGTCTATCATGTCTCCCACATCCCGTATGACAACACTGCCCTTCACTACAGCCCAACACCTTCCATATCGCTTCATATCAACGACATCTTCCACAAACTCGTGACAAGAAAGCGAGGGGGATACTGCATGGAGAATAATATTCTCTTATACCATGTATTGAGGCAGTTAGGGTTCGACGTGTACCTCACCGGCGCTCGTCTCTTTCGTGACGCAAACAATCCTAAACCGGGTTGGTCAGGATGGTAAGTAACCCCGCTTCCATATACCAGATTGAGGCTTAGCATATAATTTTCTAGGGAACACGCCGTGAACATCGTTACTCTCGCAGACAACTCCAAATACATGCTTGACGTCGGCTACGGCGGCGACGGACCAACCACCCCATTACCCCTGGTCCACACTCCCACCAGCATCCCCAATATCGGCACACAGGAAATCCGCCTCCAGAAGAATGAGGAATTTTCGGGGGAGCGGTCACACTCTGCCAACAATCCTAGTACTAATGCCTGGACCTACCAATTCCGCAACGGCAGCGAACAAGCCTGGCGCGTGGGTTATGCCTTTCATGAACTCGAATTTTTCCCGCGTGATTTCGAGATCATGAACTTTTACACGAGTCAGAACCCGACCTCGTTCCTGACGCAGCGGTTGTTGGTCATTAGGTTTCTGCAACGCGCTGATGGGGAGGTCTATGGAAAAGTGATTCTGGATCAAGATAAGTTGAAGGAGAATCGAGGAGGGAAGAATGAGTTGGTTCGGGTCTGTAATACTGAGAGTGAACGTGTGGAGGTTCTGCGGGATGTTTTTGGGGTGGATCTTACGGAGGAGGAGAGAAGAGGTATCTGTGGGAGGGTGTCGGCTTTGCCCGTCTAGGGTATGTCCGTAGTAGAAGGGAAAATTGGGCTATATATCCATTGACGCACGATTTTGTGATCAGAAGACTGAGTGGTCTATGATTCAAATCGTTGAGTTATGCAATAGCATGCAGTTCATAGACAACTTACCGTCTCTTCAAAGATATTCGTGAGAACTCAGCCATCAAACCCAGCTCCAACCAGCAGTCATCTATTCAGCAACCTCAACAACAATATGCCCAACACCCCGAGAAACGCAAGCCAACATCTCTGATTTCTGTTCTGCTTCCCTCAAGGCAGTCCCCCGATGCAACACCCTCCCACAGCGAACAGAAACCCTGCAAGCCCCACAATTTCCCGCCTCACAAGAACTCCCAATCTCGAAGCCCGCATCTCGCACAACCTCAAGAAGCGACTGCTCAGCCCCCACCTGGAGTCCCTCTGACTTTCGACCTGAACCAACGACATCCACAGTGAAGGGGTCGCCAGCGGCATCATCACCATTGAATGCCTCATAATGCACCTCATCAGGAGACATATCCACAGCGGTGGCCGTCTTTACCACGGCGTCGATCATGCGCTGCGGCCCACACACGTAAACATGGCTGTTCCAGATGCGATTTCGTAGGATCTCAGCAATGTCCATTCGTTGGCCCTGCGATTTATCGTAGGTGGTGACATGCGGCTGCAGGTTCGCCAGCAGCGATTGAAAGGCGACGTCAGTAGCGCTCCGTACCGCATAATGTAGGGAATAGTCTTGATTTGTGTCCTTCAGTCGTTTCATCATGGCGAGAAGGGCGGTTATTCCTATCCCACCCGCGATAAAGATGTGATGAGAGGCCATCTTGTCGATGGCTAAGCCCTGCCCTATCCCAGACCCTACTAATACCGTGTCCCCCCGTTTGAGTGTTTTGTGGATATAGCTCGACCCGCCGCGGCTGCGCTCTTCCAGGGCCACCCCCAGTGTAAACCGATCCGTGTCGCCTTGAACGATGGAATAGGCGCGTCGTAACCCACTAGGAAGCTTGAGCTGGGCATGACTTCCACGAAGGATCGCACCAGGTGCGGAAGTACTTCGGTGAACTGCCTCCAACTCCAGCCGCACGATACGAGGAGTCTCCGCGGTATGACTAGCAACCCTGAACTGTCTCCAAGTCTCGGGTGGACGCTTAGCTGCGGCCTCCTTCTCCTGATGTGCTCTCCAGCGCTCGATAAATACATCCCTGCACTCATCACCAAGGACATCCATTGCCATAAGATGCTGCGTCACCGCTAAGTCTGTCTTGTCGCGGTGGACGTAATGGTGCAAACGGGCGATCGACCATCGCGGATGACTTCGACGAATAACGCTGATCTCCAACCCTCCTTGTATCCACCCTTCCTCTATGACACGGTAATACCATCCCGTCTTAGCCTCCTGGTGAGTGAGCGGAGCGAAGTTCTTGATCCCGAAGCGCTGGTTTAGCTTGAAGCACGGTTGGCGCGGCAGGCTGACCTCCAGCACACAACCGTTGCGACCGCCAGTGCTCAGGGAGCCCGGTGGCCCGATGCGCACCCTATCACCGATACATACAGTCTGCTCATTCCAGCCATCGGCAACGAGGTTCTCGCCAAAGCCGCCGGGTACGAAGCGTGTGCGAGCCTCAGGAAAGCGATCGGCCCAAAAGGAATAGTGGTCTGCGCAGTACTGATGAATGGCTTTGTCGATGCCCCCGTGGAAGGTCAGATCGTGTTCGTCATCTTCTAGGCCGGTAGTGGAGAC